TAGGTGGAGGCTGTCGCTATTAGGTGGAGGCCATCGCTATTAGGTGGCGGCAATCGCTATTAGGTGAAGGCGCTCGCTATTGGTGGAGGCCATCGCTATTTGGTGGAGGCCATCGCTATTAGGTGGAGGCCGTCGCTATTAGGTGGAGGCCATCGCTATTAGGGGGGGGCAATCGCTATTAGTTGCAGGCCGTCGCTATTAGGTGGGGGCAATCGCTGTTAGGTGGAGGCTGTCGCTATTAGGTGGAGGCTGTCGCTATTAGGTGGAGGCCATCGCTATTAGGTAAGGGCAATCGCTATTAGGTGGAGGCCATCGCTATTAGGTGGAGGCCATCGCTATCTATCGCTATTAGGTGGAGACCATCGCTATTAGGTGGAGGCCATCGCTATTTGCCATCGCTATTTGCCATTGCTATCCATCGCTATTAGGTGGAGGCCATCGCTAATCGGTGGAGGCCATAGCGATTAGCCCTCGCTATCCATCGCTATTAGGTGGAGACCATCGCGATTTGGTGGAGGCCATCGCAATTAGGTGGGGTCAATCGCTTTTAGGTGGAGGCCATCGCTATTGGGTGGAGGCCATCGCTATTAGGTGGAGGCAATCGCTATTAGGTGGAGGCCATCGCTATTAGGTTGGAGGCCATGGCTACTAGGTGGAGGCCATCGCTATTAGGTTGGAGGCCATCGCTATTAGGTTGGAGGCCATCGCTATAGGTTGGAGGCCATTGCTATTAGGTTGGTGGCTATTGCTATTAGGTTGGAGGCCATTGCTATTAGGTTGGAGGCCATTGCTATAGGTTGGAGGCTGTAGAAGAATCAGAGTTTGATGCAAAGTAGGCTTAGAGACATGATCGTCTGACATGATCTACTCTTGTGCAAACATGGCGTCTGATCAGGACCCTAGCGTGCTTGAAGGCGGAAAGCGTCTTAAACATGTACAGGGCTATGATGACAGTCAGGGCCACACCTGTTTCTTTATTTTTCTGAAGACTGAAGCCACAGGAAAACACTTCAGCAAACAGTTGCACATGGCACTCCTCAATCGGAAAGCACAGGCATTCATGGGAGTTGAGTAGACGACTCAACGCGTGGTCGCTGGATTTCTGCTGGTCGCTGGGAGAGCAATCCAGCAAGCATCCCCCCGTCGCTGAACTCACTTTTTCATCAATGGCCCTACAAGAACTGTGGTAGGATGGCCGAAAGGTCCTTGGTGAACGAAAGACTGCCAGCAAATTCGAGTGAAGGTGAAGCAAGTAGGCAAACCCTACAAGACCTCAAAGCAGTGCGAATCAAAAATCACGGACAACTCAATCCTCAACCTGAAAACCATGTTATATAGACTCAGAAATCATCCATCGCTCCAGCTAAATCCCAATGTCATAAAGCCTACCTACCTCTATCAACAACCATAGAAGCATAGACAAGGGCCCCTTTCAAAACCTTTGGAAGCTAGATTCTGTATTGTATACCTAAAATGGTCCACTTCCATTTCGCTGCACTCCAAAAATCTTCTGAACCAACCACCACACAGGCCCGGCCATGTCCAACATCTCGAGCCTCCGTAATTGGAGTGCTGAAAGGCCTCGCTTCCAGCCTGGCGAAGCCCATGTTACTCTTATCGAAGTTTGGCTTACACTCCGAACACGTCACATGGAAGTGGACTTCACCACCTGTTTGGTCTTCGGACAACTCATGGTCTTCCGAGTAATGGTGCCCATTGTCCCATCCACTTCCCCAGGGACCAGAGCTTTTGGGCACAAAGACCTCCCGACATCGGCTCATCCGACCCCCGAAATCATTCGGCTCATCCAGGGTCGTTCCATGTCGAATTTCCTTTCTGTCCACGGACAGGAGGGTGCGGTGCTGTAAGAGGTCATGGTGCTGAAGCCCATGCTGTTGCATGAGGAAAGCGGTGACGTCTAAAAACAAAGGCGAAGGGAAGAACAGGAAAGGCGAAGGGAAGAACAGGTTCCCCATGAAGGCGTGACTCGCTGACCATGTTCCTTTGCACAAATCTGGGTTCAGTAAATTGAATCTTTTTCAACCAAAGTGGCCCAAGTTCGAATGGAGACTGTTTCTCAAGACCAGCACTTTTCTAAAACCGAAAACATGTCGTTTCGAATCGAGGTCCGACCATCACCAGACCGTGACGTCCCGCATGACCAGTGGGGTCATCGGTCGGTCGGCCTCGTTTGCAGCCAAACTCTAAAGTCCTCTTCACTCACACTTGGACCGTTGCTGAGCCCGGCCCAAAGATCCTGCGTGGCCGCGGGCTTCCAGAGACGCTTGGCTGCTCTCGAGGTAATGAGGTACGGCCACGCGGAGACGTGATAACATGGATCCCAAGGTGCACGGCACAGGAGGTTCCAAAGGGATGCTTACTGCTCTATCCTGAATGATCTGCTGCTGAGTTTAACATGGGTTTTACACCATGGTTTTAACCTTTGAAGGAGTACATAATTAGTATGACCTGTCCTTGGAACCCCTGCTGAAAAAATGGGTTTCACCATGTTTAACCAGTTTGAATTGTAAATCCCTTATGAAACCCAAGGCTCTGTTGGGCCGTCTGTTGGGCTGTTTGGGAGAAAACACCCACACCCACACCCGTCTCAACAGCCGCCTGGTTGGATGTTGAGGGTGATGGACGACCATGGTAGTGGTGATGAATAAGGATTCCAAATGGTAAACATCACCACCAGCGAGCACAAACTGGAGGCCCTTTCCACCAAAAAGCACCACGTGTTTTTTTCCGCCGACATCATGATGAAAACAGTTTCAAACTTTGCTCACAAACCTGAAGAACCTGGGCACTGAGTGGACCCATCGATAAAAGCCCCTTGGTTTGGATTTGCTTAAAGAACCGGGAAAAACATCCACAATAGCAGGGAATTCACCATAGGGAAAATGTAAAGCAATATAAAATAACCCTAAGCAAAACCAAGTTATTGTAATGAAGCTGTACATATCAATCGACAATGGACAGGTCCATGAAACACCGCAACCGTGGGTCCCACGCACAGCGGCACTGACGCCTGTTGGTCGCCCCCCCTGGTCGGGTTTTCTGGACCCCACCGATGACCGTGACCTGCCTCGATGCTTTGAGACTTCAGTTCCTCCTCCGAACACACGTGTGGAATGGCGCACGACGGGGTGACACGAAGGGCGCCCGAACGACCAATCACCCTACCTGAGAAGGGACAGAAAGTACTTGGAGTGGCTTAAGGAACCGGGGGCCCTGGAAAACAGTAAATTTATCCCTATAGGGATCCAGTCGTACCGAACCTCAAAAGGTACGACTCGACCCTCCTGGCACCCACAATACAACAGAGACTGGTTGTGTGCCTGACAGTGCATTAACAATACAAGTGAGTTCGTCCTCCCCTATGACAGACAGATTTCGATGACTCTGTGCCGTGCAAATAGAGGGACTCCTTATCAAGCATAACGAAGAGACAAGAAAACCATACTGCAGGGATACAAAAAATCATTTCACCTTCAACTTGCACCTGGGAAGAGGGTCAGGTCTCTGGCTAAAATTCGATTTCCGACAAAAAGGTCCTACAAGTGTCTGCAGCAGTCTGTTCCGCAAGCATCAAGCAAGAGTCTTGTTCAAGAGGCGTCTGACAAGGGTGTTTGACCAGAATGCCAAAAAGCTTTCCACTAAAGCCAGCAACAGCCTACCTCAACTCAAGCGGGTTCGCTGCAAAGCAAAGAATTCCTATTCCTTTCTGTCCAGGCACGGAAGTGAAGCCCGAAGTGCGAGCCAAAGCGCGAAGAGACTATGGATCACTGTCACGAAGTGGTGATGGTTGTGAAAACTTTCAAACGAATTTATTGAACCATCTGATGACCAAGACCGTGATCGAAAGTATTTCATAGGCGCTCTTGGAGGCTGTTGGGAGGCAGAAACCAACGGTGGTTACCGGGTTTGGGGCTCGGCTAGTCACCTGGTTGTGGGTCAGGTCCCACCGAGAAAAGCGACGGAGGACTTCAGTAGCTGCTACTGCCATTTGGCATGCCTTTTTCATGTGTTGGGATTCGTGTACTGGGTGAAGTGAATTCACTGGGAGGGTGGCCCTTGCTGGTAAATGCTGTCTGTTTCGAGAAAGGCGTCGACTTTGGCAACAGGAGCTCTTTGCCAGGCGGAAAAGAGCTCCAGCAATGGCTGCAAACAAGAATCAAAAGCAGATCTGCCGTGTGTCCCCTGCTGCAAAGAAACAAACATGTCAACACTTGCAATCTTGTGCCTGAATACACCCACTCTCACTTCTCATTGCTTCCCACACTGTACAGGCCAAAGTATCATCGCCCTCCCAGATATTCTTCGCCTTTCTGTGTCATCCGCATCAAAATGTCCAGCACTTTCTGTTGAAGTGTCTCTTGTGGTTCAGCACCCTCCCACTACCAATGGGACGAGAACTTCAAGCCACTCAGCTGGAGGTGCTGGCCCTCCATCCGGGTCCCCCAAAAAGGTGTCCCCCTCCTGGAGGGCTTCCACCAGTGCATCCTGGCGCAAGGCTTGTAGGACCTTTCGGTGGCCTCAGTGGTCGACGAATGGTTGGCTCATCAGAACGTTCCAAAGGGATCCAAAGGGCAACAACAAAAGATCCTTCCTACAAGTCCAAAGACTCAGTAAAACCTGGTCTTTTATTTCCTTAAGTATTGGTTTTGTATGACCATCTCCAGTAAAATGAGGTCTTTGACTTGTAATGACTTGTAATGACTTGTATGATTTATGGTCCCATGGGTCCCATGCCGAAATGACTCGTGGCAAGGCCGAAGCCTTGATGGGTGGTCAGGGAGATTGATATGGTGCAAGAAAACCCTTCGTGCAGGAACCGTCACCGTTTCGACCGTTTCACGGTCCATGTTCCTGTGGTCCAACAACTTGGGCGTTTCCGGATAAGGAAGTCCTGCCACAGTGGCCACGGCGAAAACCTGGTCGAACATGCATTATTCTATACTACCGCTAATTATACTGGATGGTTGCAATCGGTTGTAATCAGTTGTAATCCCCACCCATCCAGTTCGTAGTGATCAGCTCAGAGTACTGTGCCCCAGTCTGATCCAGCTACTGCGCCAGTCATCCCCAGCACCAGTGCAAAACAGGGCCCCACCTTCCTCTTCCAGCAACGCGCTGCAAGCCTCCGACGAGCGTCGTGGGCGACGCATCATCGCCATCAATGAGAGATTGCATTTTTATCTGTTATGATGTTACAATATATATATATATATATTAGATATTTAGAAATAAGACCCCCCTCACGGAGTAAACTTCAGAATGACCCAACTTTAGGGTCCCAGCCAGTGACCCTCGAGGCTGCTTGTGACGGGGGATCTCAAAGGGGGTCACGAACTGAAGAACCAGGGAGTGAACTTACAATCAATCACGATCAAGCATCTGTTCGACATGATGTCTGTTTGGTGCAACCCCTGGCTCTTGAAAAAGAACATTGATCGTTCTTCAAGTTTTCTGAAAGTTGCACCATTTGCCACTCCAGCGGCATCTTGCCGGTGCCTCTACTGGCTGCCTTGGGATGCCTCTACAGTACCCGCTTCGGCGGAAGACGGCCGCCACACCTGAAGCGCCACTTCGGTCTCCTTGTTGAGGCGTGTCAGCTCACTTGAGACGTCCTGAAGACAAGGTAGATCAGTCGACCTCTCTCCAAGGTCAAAGTCTGGGTCACAAATGTTGGAAGGATGAAGAAGATTGAAGAAGAATTATACGGAAATACCAGGAGTCACAAGACGGGGTGCCGAACTTGGAGTGCCGAACTTGGAGGAAGTCGCGGTGCCCCTGTCACACTGTCACATCCACTCACTGGATGCGACTAAAAACCACCCTACTCCATGTGATTCCTGGTATATGGGTACAAAAGGAATTACCGCGTGGAACGGACGACCCGGGTCCCATTCGACCCGGGTGCAGGTGAGTTTTCGGGAGTGTCTATGGAATTATCATTGAGATTCATTGGGTCTACCTCCTTTTGTAGAATGTCCTCCGTATAGGACTTCCTTGTTCCACCTTTTTCCCCAGGTTGCAACGTCAAAAGCATGGAGATGAAAAGCACCTGTCCAAGGCAACTCGAACCTTTCCGCACCAACTCAACCGAACTCAACACGTGACTGACTCTCCACCTAACCTCCTCCGGACAGGGACCAGGAAAAGAACACACACACTTAGATCCATGCTCGCAAGAGCTGTACCAGTTTCGAAACGCGGAGGCTAGTTACTGAATACTTAGCGCTTCACTCGACAAACGGAAAGGTGGTAGGTCAGCGTACTTGTAGGTGCTTTAACAAGGCATTCCGGAAGCTAGGTACTAAATACTCAGCACTCCTGAATGAACGGCATGCATAGAGAGGTAGGCTCCATAAGGGAGCGAGACAAGTGAATCGCTCTAAGTAGGTAAAAGGAAGTAAAGCCTCCTGCTGTGTAGCTAAAGTAGATTATAGTAGATTAAAAAAGGAAAAGAAGCCTCCTGCTTAGCTAGGGAGCGAGACGGACGAATCGCTCCACTAAAGTAGAAAAAAAAAGGGAGCCGACAGACAAGTCTGCCGACGAACCCTGCCTCCTGTTTGCGGGCGAGACATAAGAATCTAACAAGCCTCAAAGAAAACCTAACAAACGAAAGAAGGCAACGAGAGAAAAGGTGTGGGGTGCGTGTGTGGGTTTTTTTGTTGAAAGGCACGGGCCTGAAGGCTCAGGCCAGAAAGCCGAAATCGGAGCATCCTTGACTGAAAATTGAGTTGATACCGCCTGAAAAGCCTCTAGCAACGAACGAAAACCTGAGAGAAACGAAAGAGTCCTAGAAGGAGAGAAAGCAAGACCGTGCATGAATTACTCAGTGTAAAACGTACGAGTGAATACATAGCACTTGACTAAAAGTTAAGCTGGAACCTGAAAAGCCTCTAGCAACGAAAGAGAACCAAAAAAAAATAACCTCAGGCGGAGAGAAAGCAAGAGACATCCTATGAATACTTAGCGGCATGGTATGCTGTTCTGAGCAGTGAATACCTAGCAGCATGGCATGTCATTCTTGGTAAAGATGGCAGTGAGCTCTGCAGTGTTCGATCAGCAATCTCGAGCAAGAAACGATCAATCAAGGAGAATCAAGCAGGACGAGGAATCAGAAAGGAAGCCCCCTTGAGGGTCTATGCTCAACGCGCCCCGCAGGGATCACACAACAGACCTCTGTGGGACCCTGAACACACTTAGATCCATGCTCGCAAGAGCTGTACCAGTTTCGAAACGCGGAGGCTAGTTACTGAATACTTAGCACTCTAGTTACTGAATACTTAGCGCTTCACTCGACAAACGGAAAGGTGGTAGGTCAGCGTACTTGTAGGTGCTTTAACAAGGCATTCCGGAAGCTAGGTACTGAACACTTAGCACTTCTGAATGAACGGCATGCATAGAGAGGTAGGCTCCATAAGGGAGCGAGACAAGTGAATCGCTCTAAGTAGGTAAAAGGAAGTAAAGCCTCCTGCTGTGTAGCTAAAGTAGATTATAGTAGATTAAAAAAGGAAAAGAAGCCTCCTGCTTAGCTAGGGAGCGAGACGGACGAATCGCTCCACTAAAGTAGAAAAAGAAAAGGGAGCCGACAGACAAGTCTGCCGACGAACCCTGCCTCCTGTTTGCGGGCGAGACATAAGAATCACCCAGTAGAGTAGAAAAGCCACCGTAGCTCCCAGCTATGACCCCAAATTAATGGGTTAGTCATCCAGGGACGCTACATGCAGGTACAGGAAACCGGCCAAGTTTCCCTTCCCACTCTTATCCACAGCTTCATTGCGTGTGATAGGATAAGAGTGTCACACGTTCCTGCTGTTCCTTTGGGACAGGAGTGGACACACACACACACATGCAGAACACATGAGCTGTGCAAAATACGTATGATTTAAACCCTATGTCGTATAACTTTCTTACGCTCCTGCTTACGTTTTTCTTACGCGACCACAATGTGAGCTTACGCACCACGGATGTTGGAGAAGACCTTACGCAGATCGTGCGCATCTGCATTTTCACACATGAGAAAACCATACTCCCAAGGGAAATGCTTACGCGAAGGCTCCATTTTGTAGGTGAAAATAGAACCATATGGCAAGCTTAAGCAACATGCATGTCTCACAACTCCCTTACGCAACCTTACGCTTTTCAGGTGTTTGCTTACGCCCAAGTTCCATAAATATGACAACGCCTTTACTTAATTCATCTTGGGAGGTTTCTTGCGGTGACATGAATTCTTTCAAGTCCAGACAATTCCGTCCGCGTCGCGTCCTGCGCGAGCTGCTTGGCCACATAGCCGTGTTCGTACTCCGTGAGCTCCTTGGAAAGCCTCCAATTCCACACCGCCCAACGAACAGGACCAGCGGCTGTGGTACGGTACGTGGTACGTGGGTGTGGTTCGTGGCTGGGGCGCAGAAAAGCTGGTGCTGGGGATGGATGGCATCAACCAAATCTGGATTTAAACGCTTCTCTAGCACCTGAGGCTCTTTGCAGCTCTATATATATATATACATATTGTGACAACAAAACAAATCGCATTGCAAAACGTTTCACAAATCGCAGCTGAGCTTGCCTCTCATCAAAAACAGCAGGGTTTGGTGCATTTGGGAATGTCTGGGAGTTTTGCAAAACGGGCAGCTGTTACGGGAAAACGACTCTTGAACACAGAAACTCCTAAACTGCTAGAGACTCGCATGCTAGAGGAATCTCACAGTTTGATCGTGAAACACAAAGAAAATACTCAGGTCATACCTTGATGCAGTTTCTGGAAAAGTCACGAAACCACAGGTTTGTAATGTTTTCATGTTTGGGGGACAAGAAGTGGTCGTGTTAAGTGTTCGAACAGTATATAACACTCTTTGCATTGATCAGAACTGCCTTGGAGCCAATGACATGTTACATGTTGTCTCACTACATCTTAAACATCGACATCCAAGAGCAAATCATAATCCGCTTCATCACAAGAGCAAATTGTTTTATATTTTCTGAATTCCGACTGACCAAGAACAATACATCCTACAACTCCCTCCCCCACAACAACGGATCACATGGGCCTGGCTTAGCGTTTCGGCGTTTCCGCCCCGTTCCTCACCGATCTCCACGATCACTCTGAGCTCTCGCACTTACTGAGATTCACCTGAGCTGTTGTTAGCCGTGACCTGCAGCGTTGACTCGCGGGTGTGCAGTCCATCGGGTCGCCGTTTGGGCTGGGTGGGTGAGTTGAGACTCCGAGGACACCAATGGCACCAGTAAAATGGTTTGGTCAAGAAATAACAACGTCGTCTATTGATCCCCCTGGATCAGGAGGCCATACCAGTTTTTCAGAAGCTGTTCTCACCTGGACATGCCTGCAAAAAAAACGCATTCCGAATTTCCGACCAATCGGAAATCGTATAGACTATGGATTCGAGGAATTCCTCGTGATGTGCTTATCTCATTGTATCCCATGTTGATTCCATATAGATATTGACTCCAAAAAGCCAGTGTTTCATCCACAGGGTTCGTTTCTTGAGTCCTCCAGGTTCCATGTTGCTGCGAATCTGTGGATAGCTGTGTGCCGCCTTTCCATCCTTTCCTTCTCATCAGCCCATGCGTACATCCATACATCGAGGATCATCAAGGGTATGGGGCCCAGGAACCGTTCTTGGACTCTTGGTGGCTTCCAGCATGAATTGCCGCGGCAAGAAACGCAAAGCGAATTGCAACGGAAGTCATCCAAGTGTTTCCCATGATGAGTTATATACATTACTATATAATTAGTGGTCCCCAAATAAATGGAACGGCTTCCAATACATTTTTAGTATGGATCTACTTTTCTATCTAATGGGGAAATGAAAAGAAAGACCTTGCCCTTGAAATCGTCCGTTTGATGGCTTGGCATGCCCATGCATGCCCAAGCCTCAGCTTCGCGAGGTCCGTCATGAAAGGAAGGCGGTGGGTCTGGCCGTGTTGCGAACGCCGATTTCAGGTAAAGTCCGTTTTGAATTGGTCAACACCCGAAGAGAATTCTGGAATTTGGTGGTTGAGGTCTTCCTTGGAAAACCTTGAAACAAATGCGTAGCATGCAAACTCCGTCCTGCTTGATTGGTCATGATGATCATGCTGTATGCATCTCTATTTTTTTTCTTATCGTCATTATAATTGTTCGAGCAGTTGTCCAACACCTGCGAGGGGCTTCCATTTTTCCAGATTCCAGTAAGCTGACCACACTCACTCATTGGCATTTGGAGCTTTCAAGTACTCCTTGAACTTCACCAAAAACAGTACTGCTAAAATCGGATTAGAAGGTTGCGGCTCCTGCTCTAATCTAATCACCTGTAATCTGGTCTTCGATCCGCTTTCTTCCGCTCTTCGCGCGCCTCGGCCAGCGTCTTGGCCTCCGCCTCGCGCTGCGTCAAGAAGCGCTTGGCGCCATCGACCAGCTTCTGCGACGGAAGCGACGGAAGCGGCGGAAGCTCCGCGGAAGCGGCGGAAGCACGGCATGGGCACGGCAAGGAGGAAGTGCGCAGTTGCTCGATCTCTGGAATGATTGGACCAGTCTGTGAGATGCAAAAAAGGGAAAAATCAATGGAATTCGCATTGGACATCTCGGTGGACTTCTGTGGTTCCCTTTGTCACAACGGAGCAGGTGGGCCTTGGCGGTCTCTTCCAAGGCGTAGCCTTCTTCGCACCTCTCTTGTGCCTGTCACGCGCAGCTATAGCGACTTCGACGATCTGAAAATGTTCATAAGACAAAAACCTCTAATTAATATGTGACCAAAGTCATTTTTCAAAACCTCAGAACATGTTCAAAAACTTCACCAGCTTCTTCACATACCAAACTTGAGGGTCCGAGCCAGTGAACTGGTTTTGGGGCGGATCTCAAGGGGTCACTGACTGAAGAACCAGGCACTTCACTTCACCCTCGAAAGGGGTGGCCGGGTGGCCGGGTACGGAACATGGCAGGCTGCGGAGCTCCGAATGGTTCCACACACTCATGTCTCAACAAAACCCGCCTAGGGACCAAAAGTAATGCATCTGGGTTGGTATTTGAATAGCGAGACCCCCTGGCCATTTCTGGCTATTTCCCAGCTATACCAGGGGGTTCGGACTGCCTGGAAGGTCAGTGTCCCGAGCAGGGCCAATCGCACCTTGAAGTTTCGGGCTGGAGGCCCCAGGATCCTCTGAGTGGATGTCAGGCGGGTTCCTCCAGTGATGTGTGGAGCCCCTGTCCACCTCTCAGGCCTGACTTGGTGCGAAGGGTCCTAGGGTCCTGCAGTGGAGAAGCAGTGTGGAGAGCCCATGGTTTTCAGCAAGAACTGCAAGCGAACGCACCATCCTGCACCCCAGTTGTGGCAGCAACATGAATTTCTTCCAGCCATCCAGCCCTGGATTTCGGACATATATAACAGGCAGGATGAAGATCCAGCCGATCTTCTATGACACCACCATGATCTCCAATGAGATCCTGTATGATCAAACGCCTCACCCTGCCGTTGGATCTCGTCCGCCCGGGCGGTCAGCTGGAAAAGCTCTTCTCGCTGGCCATGTGGTGGTAAAGCTGGTGGTGCTGGTAGAGATGTTCATTCATGTCCATTCCCCTAAGAAAGACAATTATAAGTGACATAATTTTGTATATCATATCCCATAGGGTCCAGGTACCTGCTGAGGATGGTCTGGGAGGTGAGTTCGTACTTCTGGAGAATGGTCTTTGGAGCCAAAAGACATCCTCCGGATGGTCCTGGACCCTTAGGGATACAGTATATGTCCACCCTTTGTGGATTCGTCCAAGAATGTGAGAGTTGAGAGCTTCACCTGAAAATTGTTTCTTAAAGGCTACTAGAGAAACTGCTGGGCCACCTTGCCTGCTTGCCAAATCATGACCCTCTCGCCTGCGCCTTCGAGAGGCTCGACGAAGCTTCTTGACCCAAACGCTGCACGAGCGACGTGAGCTGCTGAACCTGGGAGCGGCCAAAAAAGGATCCAAACATGGCCAAACCATGCCAAACCGACCTCTTTTTTCGAACCTGAATAGGTGTTCAACCTCCAGTTTGCAGCAAATGGACAATCAGCCTGACAAAGAATCCAAGGGCAAGAAGTGTGCATGGTGGCCTTCACTAAGTAAGGCATGTTCAACCAATTTCCACGCGCCTGACTGGCCCAACCACTCTCTCCATTTTTCAGGCCCATCATTATCCGACTTGGCGCCCGGGCCGACGCCTCGACCTCGCTGATCTTCTCGGCCGTGCTGCGCAGCTGCACCTGGCAGCCCTTGTGGGGCACTGAAAGGACCATGATGGAACCACTGGTGCTGGAGGTGCTGGTGGCGAAACGGGATCTGCGATCCAAAGAAGCGGCGATGCGTCACAGTTCGACGTCGATTGATTTTGATGGTGTGTTTGGTGGCATTAGGTTCAGCTAGACTTGGGGAGAGGTCAAAACATGTCAAAGCCAAACACCCCAAAGCCGACAGCATAGTAGATTGACATCCGCGGTCCTGCAGTTCGTCTTGGGAGAAAAATTCTGTGCGCAGAAGCACTGCCAAAGACGGGGCTAGGACAACCCCAGCAGGGTCGAAAGTGTGAAAGAGGTAGGGATCAACCATAGCTACTAGTAGCCTGGAAGGTCATCCATGTGTTCACCTTTTACACATTGTTCACGTAAACACCCGAAACAAAATACGGCAGCCAGGTGTGCGGATTTCCCGGGGTTCCTGTTTGAATCTCCATGTCGAGATGGCATCTAACAACGCGAGCCCGGAGATCTGCCTTCCTTCGAACTTCTTCTGGAAAGATCAATTATTACAGGATACTACAGGGTATATGATATATATATATATTGATATCTATGAAAAAAGGCCTAGACCTGGGAGGTGATTGGTAAACACATGAGGAGGTTTTCTATTTCAACACACGTTGATAAGGGCACATTAATTAATGCACATTATATTGAAAATGTGCCAAACGTGCACAGGAAGAAAACAAATCCACTGACGACACGGCACGTCCACCACCAACTTTCACAAGAAACTGCTCCTGTTCATTGACGACCTCCAAGAAAACGGGATAGTGACAGTGGTTCCCCTGAAAATGCTGGAACATGAGGGACCCTGCATCCTGCTTTTTCCTGATTTGACGGCTCCGGCATGGAGCATCCAGAGAAGAAAAGAAAAGTAAAGCCTCAATAGCTCACCAGCTGAGTGTGGCTCACATCAACTAGACGTACATGCCCGGGTCACGTTGGAGGCCAATGTTCTTTGTTTTGGACCCTGTTCCCCTCAGAGTGGAAGGCCATAAGGTCTGCAAGAATCACATGATCAAAGTGGAGTGAACACCACCCTTGACGCTGCTCGGATGGATCTTCATGGATCATCGTAGGTCACTGGACCGCCTGCGCCGGCGCGGTCCTTCGTCCCGCGGATCCCCGCGCCTTTCGCTTCCGCTCCGTGCCCTCCTCGGCCGGCGGCTGAAAACAGGGTCCCCGGCGACCGAACCGACCGGAGCCCCAAAGGACCGGGGTAGCTTGGCCGTGGCGAGTCCTGGTACCATGTGGACCTTCCAGATATAGTCTTGGCAAGGCTTGGGTCGGTCTCCCGGTTTTGCTACAGCCATATGGCCATATAGAGTGAATCCCGGTTCGTTGTGATGCCGTGGTGCAACTACATCCAGAAGTGTTTGAGGTAGGTCTTGCAGGGTCCAAATACCCAAACCATCCCAAACCTAGCGCACACCCCGCGCCTTTTTGAGCTCCCCAAGCTTGGAGGCCATCCTGGGCCGTGAACCCCGCCGGTGCAAAACCAAAAACCACCGAACGACCTCCCCCGCCCGACGGCGGATGGCGTGGGGTGTGGTGGAATCCTTCTGCAGAGTTTTCCGAGCTCCGGGGGGGCGGAAGGGGGACTCGGAGCTGTCATGAATGTCTGTACCTTCCAACAGGTCCTCCGAAATGGAGGGTTGTGAAAGGCCCTGTCACAGGTTTCGGTGACCTGTTGGCCGTCGGTGTTGGTGGTTGTCTCGTGTCTGAAACTGCTCTTCTTCATCCAGGGCGACCTGTCGACGCGAAGGAACCACAACACCCACTGACGAAGGTGAGATCAGAGGTGAAGGTGATTGGGGGTTGATATCGAACCGCTTGGAGGAGAACGAGTGGATGAACGGGAGGAGAACCCGTTCATCGACTTGCAGGGTGCCATCCAAATAGGAGCGTGCATCACGAAAGGCGCATCATAAAAAGGGGCATAAAAGGGCTATAGGAACAAGGACGCTACTAATTAGGGGCTCCTGGCACTACTAGGAGCGTTCGGACGCATCCTTATGGGGCTCCTGGCATCGTTACGAACGGAGCATTCTTACTATACTATAGTAAACAAGTAGCTAGCAGTTCTGGTGCTGATCCCTCGGCACACCATATCCAACGGTCCGTCTGCGGTCGCCATATCCACACATCTGGCTAGCCGAGCAGCTGATCCAATCGCTTTTGCAAGACAACGAGCTCCTACCGTTGGGGGAGGTCCGTGTTCTGGGGCGCATCGCTTTTTGGGGGGTCAAGAACTCAGCAATTAGATGATAGAATGTGTTCCCAGTACATGTTCAAAATCCAGGACCCCCTAAGGGGCTTCTATTACTAGCCCCTTAGAGGTTAAAGGGTGTCCATTAGCCACCCCTTGTGGGTTCTGGATGTTGTTTGCTGAGACGTTTCTTTTTCTACGTCTTTGGCAGATTCCCTCATTGTTGCTCTCTCTCTCTCGAGACAAAGATGCTTGATCGAATCTGGTCCGACACCCTTTTGGGGAGTCTCCAATGGTTGATCGGCGTCATGTCTTCTCCAGTGCCCGGCCACTGTGCCCTCGTTGGAGACCAAGACCGAGAAAACATAACGAAGACTGCGGGACAGGAAGACTGCGGTGCACAGGTCCTCAGCGGGTGGGATCAGATTCTTCACCGCCGACCGATCTGGAACCCAAGAGAAGGAGTCTGAATGTGCCCAACCAATCCGGGCAGCGTACTGTGTCCGCGAAAGGACAGAAACCATGGCGTGGCTGGCCCCTATTATAGGGTTGTTCAGTGGGTAACACAGAAAATGGTGACTGATTTATTCAAGGTGGAAAAGGATATGCTTCGCCCTTTCAGATCCTAAGAGCCCTTGCCCTCCCGATGTTTCAAATCCGAACCGAAGACCACAGACGAACGCACGAACCAGCCTTTCGTGCCGTTCGGTGGCGGTGCGGGGTGGTCGGTTGCGGAAGACTGGTCGGTCAGGACCACGTCTTCGAAGATGGTCTTCCGGTCCGGTCTTCATCCAGCACCATGGAGCTAAAACAAGAACTGATGGCGATGACCGGAAGAACATGAAACAGATCGGTCGCAGATCGAAGACACAAACAGAGAACAGCAAAGAAGAGAGCATCCCCCAAACAAGACCAGAAGATTCCAAACGAGTCCAGAGCTTTTCCATCCTTTTCCAGAGGAGTCCAAACGATTCCAAAGGATTCCAAACGATTCTGATCCGCTTCACCCGGGAAGTCGTTTTCTTCTTTTAGGCAAAGGTTGCTTTCCACCGGGCTGCCTGGTGTCCCCGTCCTTGGAGCAAAAGTCTTGAACCACTCCTTGGAAGTCTTTGGCCTCGCTTCTTCGATCAAATGGCAAGCTCGGAGACAAAACCAGCTATCCCGATGGCGTCCCTACATGGCAGTGGGTGTATCATGTACGTCATATACTGTATAGTCAAGTCTATAGAGTCCATCCAACCCCTTTGTTGATTGGAAAAGGCATGTTGATTGGCAATAGTTTGGATAGTTGGTTCTAGGTAATTATGTGTATATAACCTATAAATATACAATATATAGTTATTAATCATATTTAACTATATATATAGAGAGAGAGATATACATAAGGGACGTAAAGGATAAAGGATAGACCAACGGGAGTAGCTACCATCAGAGCCTGGACAAAGCAATGGTCCACGGTCCTGCAAGTGATCCCGCGGTTATGTATACCGTGGCTTTCGATAACCCACTCGACTTCCGAGGCTTGAGGAATATCATGATATCCTATAAGCCTTCCTAAGCTGCTGGACACCAACGATGGCACAGTTTGTGTCCTCCCACACGGGGAAGAAAAAAACGCATCTTCCAATCCCTCCGGCCATGGCAGACTCCGCCTTCGCCAAGTGCTCCAAGATCAACCCCCTGGCCTGAGCAGGGCTGGAGGCCTGATGAGGACTGGAGCTGGTCTGGTGGTGTTTTTCTTCGATGACTCGACTCCCGGTGATGCTAGTCTAGCAGAGTGTTTTCTGGCCGCCGATGCGCGGGACATGTCTCTCTCGAGCCTTGGAGTAGCGAGGATCAAACAAAAAATACAAAATTGATGTCTCAAGAATCATGACTGAAACCTGCAGGTACCTGGGCCACAAGCCTTTCAAATGCTCAAAATTGGGGTTCGTGGTCACAGTCGCAGACTTCTGCGTGGTTCGTGTCACTGTGAAAAAGAAAATGATAGAACATTCATCGAGTGATGTCGTGTCCGTACAGGCAGCTGATGAGTAGTTTCGGAAGCCATCAGGGAAATCGACCGCTCACAAATGAGAAAACTTTAAGGGACTCTTGGTCGGTGAGCCAAAAAGGAAGGTCAGTCAGACAATTGCAACACAGTGAGCAACGAATGTCTAGCTGGCCAGTCCCAACCGTGCAGTTCTTGACAACGGATGCTTTCACCATCTTTCACCACACCAAGTAGACAAAGGGAATCAAGCTCGGCCTTTGTCTTTCAGAAAGTATTGCAGAGTAGGAGAAAGTCTCCACTTTTCAAGGACACTCTGTTGACCAACAGATTCCTGCACAACGATCCGTAGGGAGACCAGTACCCAAGCTACTGGCAGGTCATGGCATTGACCATGTAATTATTTACCAGCAATCCAGATCCAACTGCAAATGAAGCTGTGGCTTGGAAAGTAGCCCAGTATATAGCCGCCAATATAACACCCACACAAACCTGGCCGAACCTGGCCGGTACCCAGTGGTTTGCAGCGGTTTGCGGCCTCGCTGATGGCCTTTTGAGTCTGTAAGCAGGCCGCCTGGCACTTGGGACGAGCACCGGTCGGCGATCCGAGCACCGGTTGGAAGGGATCTGGTCTATGAAGGCCTGGAAAAGACTGCAGGGCTCCGGGACATCTTGGGAGGAAGCATCCATGACACTTAGTGATTTTCTTCAAGGTGACGACTTTCCCAAGACCCCCACAGTGCCATGAGTCACTATGGTTCATAGAATTGGCCACCAGGAGTCACTCTTGATGGGCCCCCTCAGCCGTATATATGTATATATATATATATGATATATTATTGTCCCTCGGGCTCCAACTACCTCCTGAGAAGGTGGTTAGGGTGGGCTTGGGAGGTCTAACCACCTTCTGAGGATATGGTTGGAGCCCTAGGGTGTATCAAGAACCATGAATGATAGCTAATGTAGATCATATTGCCAGTAACCGTGGATCATCTTGCTTTGCTTGCAGGACTGCTTGCAGGCCTTTCTCAAAAATCGTGATCATCTACCGACTGAGCTGGTGGTTTCAGAGCACTGGCACCCCTCGGGGAGTCCATCCACCTCTGCGAGTCCATCCTTACCGCCCTTGATGGATTGCGCCATCTACTCCTCTGATGGCCTGACGCACCGGTTTCCTGGGACACCACCGATTGCTTCGGGTCCGGTGGTCGGTAGAGCAACTGATCACACACATTCAACATGGGTGGGGTCGGTTTTTTCTTTCCGCCGTGGTGCACAGATTCCCCACCAAATCAACTTACAGTAATACCTCCATTGAGTCCCACCAGAAATCGATCACCAGGTCCCCAAAGCTCTGAGATGGCTTGATCCCCAAAGCTCTGAGATGGCTTGATCCCCGAAGCTCTGAGATGGCTTGATCCCCAAAGCTCTGAGATGGCTTGTTGGTGCCAGGTCCTGTGAGGGCTTCTTGACACGTCCCAGTTGTGATCGCCTCGCTCTCGGCCAGCGCAGTCTGCATCGTTTGGAGCGGTGCGTCCTGGCAGGAGACAAAGCCAACCTGGGACTGCTGGGGTTTCTCCAGAAGTGCCTTTGTGTATCAAATAGAGGTCCAACAATCCCAGATAGAAACCCCAGCAATCCCAGGTTTCTGGAGAATATAATGTAGAGGTAGGATTAATAACACCCCCTAGTTAAACCGAGCCCACACAGCCTCGCAAATTCACCCAAATTGAAAGTAGTATTGGAGCTAAATTCCACCCCTAATAGTGTACTTGTCATCTAGAACCCCCCCAATTAAGCCGAGCCAGACAACCCAGAATATATAACTATAATTGTTTTTAATATTTAGATCAACTAAGGGGGGCCGGCCGGTTGATTAATCCGGGGTTGACATTACAGACTATATAAAGGTTTATATGTGTCCCAAATAGGGAGTCCAAGACCTGGCTCTTGGAATCTTGGACGCTGCAACATTGGACCTCTCGCTGGGATGTGTTTCTGGGAATTCCGATTCAATGATGTCTCCACTCTCCACCGACACCCTTGAGATGCCATGGGCCTGCAGTCTGGTGCCTGGGTGTCCTGGCTGGACCCAAGGTAGTGGGCTGGGTAGTCCAGCCAGAACCCAGACAGCATGCTCCTGGTGGGAACTAGATCAGACTGCCAATCCCTTATCAGCTCTTAACCACCTCGCAACAGCTCTGCCGCGGTCGTCCCAAGACCCAAGAGGCAGAAGAGCATCATATCCGCATCTTCCTGCAGCCCAACATAGGATTCCCCACCCATTAAAGGCCCCTTCACTGCTCCATACTGCGCCGATCGGACGCCGTCGATCAACGCGATGGCTTCGTTTCGCGTCCACCCGGCTGCGCCCCGCCTCGAAGCTTGACTGGAAGGGCCAATCCGCCTGAACGGCCTGGCCACGCGCGTTGAATTACAAAGACTGCAGAGGATGTTTGGGATATGACACCATAGGAAGCCAGACAGAATTTTCAGGAGTGGCCAGCCAATCCCTGCCAGGCAAAATGCCTCTCTCCATGTCCACTCAAACGACCAAATAAAGCTAGAGTGTCAAATCCATGACATTCACATGGGCTGAATATTAGTATATGTCCTTCTGACATATACCCTGGGAGTCAAAGACTATAAAAATAATGGTCTTTAGGGGACCTGAAAGGGAACTTCCTTTACTCCAGCCAGTCAAAAAATAGTCTTTGGACTTCTAGGGTATATTCAAGCCAAATATGCCAGCCAAATGGTCTTGAATATTCAAGTCAAAAGTGGCGACATCCATCGGATGGTCGACAGACATCTGTGTCGACCACCGAGGCAGACACCACGTGGCTTAAGGTAGGCGTTCGCGCCGGCATGGATCCCTTCAAGACCAGTGGTAGATGAACACTTCCAGTTTAAATTACGGTAAACAGCTGGAAATTGAAAAGACTCATAGAAATTCCTTGAATTCTATCTGATGTCAATATCTGCCATCTCTACAACACATTGCCACGAGCCTGAAATGATCCAGGTTTGATTTTATCCACCAAAAAACCATAGAAGACCCTCCTCTGCATGGGTCGCTGAAAAACCTTCAAAACCCATGTAACTTCACGTGGCGACCGCTTTTGTGCATTTTCTGAGGTCAAAAGCCGCGGCGCCGTGAACCGCTGCTGCCGCGAACCCGTGAACCGCCTTCTGCAGCTCCAACTCGCTGCGTTCCACCTGGCATAATCTGTTGCGCAACGGCTGGTCTTCATGTCGCAGTTCAAGGCATCCAACTCATGAAACCATATGAAACCTCAAACCTCGTCCCAACTCATGAAATTTCATCCCAACCCCGTGAAACCGGTTATTTGGGACCAAAGCCCTCAATGTCAAATGCATCCAACTCTACAAGTTCCCACACTCTAAGAAAAGCGGCTTTGAGACTCTGCACAGAATAGCTGCGTCATGCGAGCTCGTAGAGCGCTCGTAGCGCTGCCAGCCTGTTCTAGGCTTTGTCCCACCATCTCTGACGCTTGAAGCTGTTGCTTCCTGGCCAAATGGAGAAGATGTGTTGGCCGGCGGGCCCGTGAAGCATGAGAAGGGGTGGAGCATTCACCTGGACATCAGCCTTAGTGGTGTTTTGTTAGGCTGAAGTTCTTAGAACATCCACACACTCTCTATTTGTACCTGCAAGCCAGCTGCGAAAGAGTGATTGTGCTGGAAGTTTGTTGGTTTGAGACTTCCAACTCACTTTGACAGGCCGCTCCCAGCAGGCGGTGTCCTCTCGGTGGCTGCTTGCATGACCCTCTCTAACTTCTTCTCAGCCTCGGCTGCTGAACAAGCTTCCGCTGTTCTTTCGGGAAAGTTGGCCAACCGAGAACTCCAAGACAGGGTTGGAGGTCCAAATGAAACAGAACCAATACCTTTTCCAGGGTCAGTGCTGTGCCTTCCCTTCCAAGTTGCATACCCACCGCAAGTTCATTCATCTGCTCCCATATCATTTACTCTGGGCCTGGGTGCTGATCAGCTCCTGGCTGGAGCGCAGAAACCGCCAGGTGAACTCAGTGACCCCATTGCCTGGTGAACCAACGAACGGGCCCCCATCTAGAACCGATGCAACGACATCAATGGCACCGGAAGACCGGCTGGTTGACCACGGGTCGAATGAACAGAATAGACGCCCCCAGACATGGTCAACCTACCAGGGTGCACAGGTCTCTGGGTGCCATGACCCACAGCCATATATCCAATAGTTAATAGTCACTTGTGTTGATTGGTCTCTCAAAACAAGGTTTCTATATATGGTTGCCCGGTAAAGCATGACATGTCAGCCAGTGGCCAATGTTGGTCATGTCCACTTTCATGTCTGGCCGAAATGGTAGCTCAAAGCTCGACAATTGGACAAGATTGGATTAAGGAGAAGTTGACGACTCCTCGACAGCGATGGGACCACTACGTGGCTTTCAGACAACCCCCGAAAAGCCCACCTGCTCCACACCGAAACCCTCGCCATCATACTTCCAAGGAGGCAACGAGAAAGACAGTCAGGCTCAATTCAGCTTTGTGCCCAAGAAAGGAGGGAGCCAATTGAAGACCCACAATCTCCTCAATCCGAAAATATGACAAAAAATCACCAATGTAACCTACCGCCAAGAAATGACAAGTCTTAAACTTAAGATTTGCGTTGATTCCCTGCGAACCAATCACTATCCCTATCCCTATTTGCCTCGAGCCCAGCAGTCAGTGGTCTAAGACAATCGACCTTCTTATTGCGTTGCTGCATAGCAGTGAGCTCCTCCAGCAGAACGCCGCCCGCACCTCAGAGAAGTCTGGCCCACGGAGGCCTGGAGTAGATGGAGAGACATCAACCCCAAGCCCCGTGATGATGGATCCGTGTGGCACGTCTTCTGGATCCAAACACCACGATGTCTGACACCCTCATGCAGCCCACGCCGATCAGTGGGGGTGATTCATCTGGGGGTCAATGTCCCTAGGGCTCCAAGTACCTTCTAAGAAGGTGTTTGGGGTGGGGTTAGAGGGTCCAAATACCTTCTGAGGAGGTACTTGCAGCCCTAGGGTGTAGGTAAACTTGCCAGTCCCATGGAGTGCTTGGGTTTTAGGTTCCAACTGGTTCCGTACGACGACGGCTTGACCTCGTCGACGTGACGAAGCATGCATACGGCTGCATAATACATCGATATTCAAAAATCTATGCATATTTTCCCCTTCTGGGGAAGGGTATTCACCCCCAACAGCACAACCAAGCAAGTTGGCTCATATTTTTTGTTTGGTTTGATATGGTTTGATTATGACAAATCATCAAGTCAAACCAACAGCAATCGCGTTCCTTTGCGTCCTGCAGTCTGAGCTTTCCAGGCGCGCAGAGCGCACCCCTGTGGCCTGCTGGCGTCATGAACCTGAACACCTGTGGCCCAGGACCTTCACTTTGTGAACTCTTTCAAGTCTCTGTTTGTGACCTCAGCCACTGGGACTTTTGACCTCAGCCATTGGGATCTCAAGCATGGTCACTTTGTGACCCTCCTGTGGCGTCCCACCATTCGCTGCCCGAGTCGGCCGAGGTGCTGCGTTGCTTGATCTCCAGGAGCTTCGCCAGCTGCTCCAGTTTCATCTTCACCGAGGTGTTCGCCTCGACCCAACGACCGGAACTGGACGTGAGCCTTTGTCCAAGAATCTGTCAATACGGAACCAGACCCCCGGGCGATCGCCCCAGAAGAGTGGTCTATTTCCCTTCTTCCGAACTGGGAGGGCTCCTGGCTCTTTGGGGATTCTGCCTGTGATGGACCTGGGATTGGTAAAGGAATGTTAAAAGTGGCTTTTGGAGAGGCCCAAACGTCTTAAGATTTGCTGAAGGAAACGGGAAAACTTGAAAATATTATAGACATTGACAAATTAATATGTCCCATGAGGGTATTCACCTATAAAACCAAGACGTGTGGACAATGTGTGGAGGCTGCCCCACGGGACATTTTAGCGAAGCGATCAGCCCTTCAAAGACATGAAGGGACCGCAGGGGACCCTCTCACACTAAAACTCAAGAAAAGCTTTTGTCACTCATGTCATCCTCTTCGCTTGGGCCTCGACTGAACACTCACCCCCAAACCCACCACCTCCAAAATGAGATTCGCGATTTGATCGAGGTCCAGAAGGCAACAACACCTGCAATGTGTTCGTTGAGCGGCCTTATCGGCCTCCTGCACAAGCTCTGGTGAGTATTCCTGCTCCTCGTGATCGGTGGCACGTGGGTGGCACATGGGTAGAGACCATGGATTGGCTGTTCGGATGCAAATGTTCTGCAGTGTCTTACTGCCGAAGATCGATGAGTGTGTGCTGGCTTGAAGGCTGATCTGAGTGTTCTTTTCCAACATCAGAGATGTTCACCATCTCATCTTGGGTCACCATTAATGACACGACAGAAAGAACAAAGCCCTTTGATTCTCAGGAACATGGCTCGGCTCATTGACTGTTCGGAACCCAAAAGGACTTTCTTTGGACCCAATAGTTGGTTCTGCCTCCTGTGTCCTTTCCAAGTCTGCCTCACCTCTCCCCATCCAGCTCTCTGGGCCCCACCGATTGGATCACCCAGAAATTAATTTCAGGTGATCCACCGATTGTCACAATGCTAAAGCCAAGGTGAAACTCCAAACCAAGTCAAAGGAACTGCATCTTTAAAGGATGTTCAGATCTGGTGCAGGTGGGACACGTATGTTTCTTGACGACCTCCTTTTGAACCACAGCCAGTTTGCCACAAGAGACAGAACAGCTAGTTGGCCCTGATTCACCACTTTCCTCCCAAAATTGTGGAAGAAGTATGCAATTGTTCACCAAGAAACATCTTTAGACCATCCATGGAGATCAGGGTTTCCAAACCCTTTCCATTGATGGGGTTCATGTGATTTTAGGGCAGGAAAAAGTAATTTAGATGTTGTTAACAAGTTGTTAACCATTCTCGGTACCCCGGAACAGCTTCCGGTCCGGGATGTCATTGGCGGCGACTTTCTCCACCTCAAGAGAGACTCCGCTATTGCAGATTGGGTTGGTGGAATGCTATGCAAAAGCCTGCCATTCGCCAGGCCACCTCCCCACAAGAACCCTTTGTGATTCCCAATTAGAACAGTTTTGATGCTTATAGAAGCGGTTTAGCAGTATGGTCTTGTCGACATGAAGACATCTCAAACAGAGCTGATGTGACTGGAAAATACATATCAAAACATATATATATATATTATGTACATGATGATGCATATATATATATATAACTATATATATATGTGTATGACGTACTACATCTTTCACTGAAATCCAAGCTCGTGCCCATGTGTTGCTTCATCATCCATTCGGCTCTCGACGGTGCCTCGCCCTCAACCATCTGCAGCTTGTCCATGACCTGCGACGGGCCATGACGAGTCCAGACGTTGTGGACCGAAAGCCGTGAAGTGAAGTGCTGGATGCTTGAGCGAACGTGAGCTCGTGACTTTCTTGAGCCAAGTTTTGGCTGCAGTGATAACTCGTTCTTGGAAAAAAGGAAAACATGGTTTGTGTAACGAACCAAAAACGGAAGCCTCCAAACGACCTCAAACGCTGAACGTGTTCTGCCCTTCATCCGCCTCCACCAGCTGTTCCTTCACGCGGAACCGCTCCTCGCGGTCGAACCGAGGAGTGGAGCCGAGGAGGAAGGTGGATCTGGCAGGATCACGTGTGACCATGTGTGACCCAAGTCATAGGGGGCCGGGATTGCAAGCTTCGGATGACCTGGACTGCGAGCAGTTGAAGGCTGCGGCTGTGGTTGGATCTTATGTGTGGACCCATCTGAGAACCCTCCTATGAGGACCAAGCACACTCCAAGCACCACAACAAGTCGGTTGTGTGATGGAAATACTCAAACTCTGCACTCTCCAGAGTCAACAGACCATGTGAGAATGTGTCCCTGTGGTTTTGAGAGGTGGTGGTGGCAGAAACGACCAACGTGTCATTTCTTGTGTTCCGAGGTCGTCCTAACAGGAATCATTGGTTTGTAAACGGAATTCGTTGGGAAGTTTGCAAGCAGCCGTTCAAAAGGAAGAAGCGAAGGAACTTACTGTAGTGACTATAGTTGTTATTAAGTTACTCTGAGAGCAACCGTTTCTTATTAATCCAAGCCCCAATTGTCTTGCTGTTCTTTCTGACCAATTTGGGATTCATATGCATGGATCTATCATTCATTTGTTTTGACTCTGGTCCTTGGTCCTTGATCCGATCTTTTTCCACCCTCCTCGGCATTGGAGATGTTGCTGCGGAACTTCGCGATTTCCTTTCAGGAACTGTCGATGCTCCACATGACTTCCCTGAAATTCCAACACCGAGACAGCATCCTAAGACGCATGCTGGGTGTTTGCCAGGTACGTTCTGCTACCGACCGGTGTTATGCAGGATGGAAGGTTCACTCCAGGCTACGAGAGGCTGGTGGGCCAAGCAAGCTGTCGAAAGGGTTGGCCGGTTGGCCGATGGTCAACATCGTCTCCATGCCAGCTCAGGCCGTTCAACCAATTCGGGTCAAAACATCATCACTCGAACCCAAAACCAAGTCGCGATGATCAACGCTCGTCGGATCAATGCTGGGAGTTGATGGACTGACGTCAACGGCCAACGGGATAGCCCCAAATGAATAGAATGGGTGTCCGAAACATGCGTTCATAATTACAGCAAATGGATTGTTTCAGAGGTCTAAGGAGTCTAAGGAATGCAAAGGAGTGAGGAGCACTATGTTCACGGCCACCAGGAAGGGTACCTATAATGTATCATTTGTTGCCCTCTATAATTAGTCTTTGAGTATACGTAAATCGAAGAGTCGGATACTCTTGACTCATCCCAAAATGACTAACCTCATCTCCACATTGCGCCTGCTGCATGGAGTTGACCTGGCGAGGCTTTTCCACGGTTGATGAACCCCCCCCCAACTTCTCTCGCCTCCTGGTGCCCCAGACATACCGTGAGAATCCACCCTTTGAAGGCAACAGGTTGTGTGAAAAAGAAAGCACACTAGATTGATCTCTTAGGGAATGAAATCCAGCATTTCAAGTGGTGTCCAAATGCAGCTTAAATGCATCTTCTTCAAGCACAACAATCACTACTATCCTCATCTCCTAGCTAGGAGCCTCCCGAATGGACATAGTCACTCACAACAGATCACCACTCACAACAACAAGCCTCCAAATTGCCCAAAGGCGGCCACTCATGAGCACGCACTACGTGAACACAATTATGCAATTATGCAAATTAACAAAAGGCCGACAATGACAAGGCCAGCACTAAAATGATCAAATCATTCCCAATGAAATCTTGTCCAATGAACCTCCTGCCCCCCAGGGGCCCACGGAACCACCACCCCCGAACCGTCCCAACCGGGGCCCCGCGCGCGCGTCTGCAGGCGCCCAAGCTCGCCACCCGAACCGCTCCGGTCGCCGCCGGCCATGGCCAACTTTTTGAGCTCAGCCTGAGACAGACGCCGAGAGACGCGTCTCAGATCAGTCTGAGGCCTCTTGGAGAGGCCCAGAGCCGGGCACAGCCGGGCACGCCAGCCGCTGAAATGATGGCGCCATTGGATCAAGGGGTTCCTGATGGTTCCTGGCACCCCGTGACGGTGGCCATCCTGGTCCAACGGCTCTAATGGTGAACCAAACGAACGAACATCTTGTTGAATAGGACACGGAAGCCATGGGAAGCCTATCATGATCCGTGGTGGAAATAACAGTGGATCCATCGGATCTCTCTAGGATTCTCTAGGATATCATTCTATGTTCCAATACGTTGCGAGGGACAGCGTAGCATCGCGCAGCTAGCAGCTACGTTGTTCATTGGTGATCATGCACTGACCAAGTGGCATTGAACTCTTGCTTGCACGAAACCCGGGGCACCGCATTGACAGTCTGAACCAAGAATGGACCATGTACCTCCCAAAAGACCCAAAGACCTCCACACCGGCCGGTGTTCTCCACACCGACCTCAGTGGCCGTGTGTTCTCCCTCCAACAAGCATGGATTTCGTGGCTGGACAATCCCCTGTTGGTATAGAGACAAATAGTCTTCCAAAGGCCATGCCATCCGTTTCCATGCGACCAGATGAGACCAGATTCCAGATGCTACCAGGGGAGTGTCATGGTCTTCCTTCTTGGGGCCATGTGTCCACTTCCGGCCGTGGTCGTCCCCGGTCTTGTCTCGAGCTGCAGTCTTGTGGAGCAAGAGCTTCCGAGCTGCGGCCTCGGAAGTCGAACCGCCGGAGGCTCCCGGAGTGGTCAAGCGAGGTCGAAAGTTGAGGTCTTAGTTCAGTCAATATCCGATCTGCAGGGCAAAAACCATGTGAGGTGAGAAGAAGAGTTCAGTCAATACAAACATATTCCTACAGAATCCAGTCCAAACCTGTACAACCCAGAGTCCAAACCTGTACAACCCACAAACCATCTTGCCAAACATGTCCAACCCATTCAGAACATCTTTCGCTGCACCCTTTGTTGTCTGGCACCGTGCCGTCTTTTCCCGCTCACCAAGGGCGGAAGCAGGTGGTGCTGGAAAGCACCACCCAGGTGACTTCTTCAGCAGAGATGATACTCAAGACATCGCCTGACTCCCTCAGATTCCTGGAAAATACCGGTGAACCGAACTGTCCATCACATGGTCACATGGTCCCTTTCTTTTCGTGACACGGACACCATGGCGGACAACCATGGATGGTGTCCAGTCACCTGCAGGCGATCCTTCCATGCACGGTACTTCCTGGGGTGGGTCTCAAGACCCTCAGGACTCTCAGGACCCCCGACCACGCTTGCTTGGGCCACTTTGTCCGACTGCGAGGCCTGCCCATCTCACACACGCGCGGCAAGAAGTTCCCAACCCCGTGCTTCGCGCTGTTCCGGGCTAAGCCCGGGTCAATGGGTGTGTGTGTTTTTGTGTGCTGCCATTGGTTCCCTGTTGTTTGGCTGCTTGTTCGGACGATGGGCTGGAAGTACCTGTATGCGGTACAAGAAGTACGGTAAGTATTGATACCTGGAGCCTCCAGACTCCCATCCTGGATACTATAGTGGGCTGGGGGGTGTGTAGCCAGGACACCCAGCCAGCATGGTATCCGGAGAGAAAGCTCTGCCCAGCCTCTTGGAGTGTCTCATAGAAGAACTCCGCCAGCTTCTCCCCGGGTTGTCCCATGCCTCGCGTGCCAAGCAAGATCGTGCACGTCAGCGAGATCAACGATCGTTGGTCAACAGTCAATCTGAGCTGCAGATCAGAAAGAATGATCGAAAACTCTCTATGTACTTGATTCCCCGGATGCTTTGTTTTCAATCCGTAGCATGGCTGATTGATCCCTACTGAACCAGGAAATAATAGATCCGGACTTAGAGCCGTCTTTCGCCATCCAAATCGCTACGAAACCAAAAGAACGTCAGTTAAGCCTCCTCATGCTTGGAAGGGGGACGTGGATCACTTGCTTTCGATTCCCAATTGGGTGGCCATCGCGGCCATCGCCGGTGCGGATGGATCCAAGCCGAGCCGAGCCCTACACGATTCTACATGCTTATACGTCTACAAGCAAGAAACATCAACCAGGAGTCACAAAGCAGGTGGTGTGGCTCGTCCCATCCAGTGGATAGCACCCCTTTTTTCTTGACTAAGTTCAAAACACACATATTCCTGGTGCTGCCAGTGTTCGGAGTCTTTGTCAAGCTCTCCAAATCTTGAGCGACGACACTTGACTTTCCACGCATGCAGACTCTCCGATCATTCTGGATGGTAGTGAGATCAATGACATCAGTGAAGGGGCACACATGGATGATTCATGATGATTCAAGACACGCAAGCGATTGAAAGTTGCCAAATGAACACGACTTCCTCATCCGTCCGGTCCTGGGTCCGTCGGGTCGTGTCCCTGGTCCGCGGAAAACGACACCTCTCTCATGCCTGCACCAGCACATGCTGGTCCCAAGGACAAGCACGGTGAACTTCTCCATGAATTGGTTGGGTTGTAAGAAGTGCACCAACACCAACACCATTCGTGAAAAGAGAGTAGGACTAAAGAAGGTCTGCTCAGTCCGCTCGCTGCTGCTGCGTTTCGAAAAATCCACCACCCAAAGGTCATGGGACGTCTCACCGTTCTCTCACCGTTCTCTCGCCGCAGCGTCCGTCGACGCGTCGACGCATGGTCTGGACGTATTCGATGGGTTTCTGCAGTTCGGCGCCTGGCAGCGGAGTGGCCACATCACCCATCTTCTTCACCTGCGAAGGTCTTTGACAGAACCACTCGATGTTCAAAAAGAGAACTAAAGGGAACTCTTCTTGGATTTGGTTTCAGGAAGAAAAACACGATAAAAAATAAGGTTAACCCCAGAAATTTGCCATGAAATCGACAGGGGATTCACCCAGTTCGGGAAAATAGCAATCGCCCTTCAAACCGCAAAATCCAGATCTCGTCTGCGTCGCCGCCTCTTGCTCGGCAGCCAAAATCTTGAAGGTCACCTCAAGACACAGTCGTCTTGAATGTCTTGAGTTGATGTTGATGTTGACATCCAGTCGTTGATGTTGACACATAGTCCCACTGTGGATCTTGATGTTGACATCCAGTCGTCTTGAATGTCCACAGTGGGACTATGCGGGACTGACGACTCTCTAGCTGATGAGTTTTTCGGTGGCCTGCAGGGTCGGGTCATAGGCATAGGCATTCTGTTTGAACAGAATATCTTCACTACAGATCCCTAGGGATCCAAGTACCTTCTCAGGTACGGTGATGTGTTCGACACTGTGATGTAGGTGCCAAAACGTCGGCTCCAAACCTATTCAAACCTGAGGTTCGGTACGACCGGATCCCTAGGGGATTACAGGAACCAATGAACCCACAGTGGTTCTTGGGCGACCTCTCGAGTCGGGTGCCACGGAAGGACCGGGTCATGGCACCGTCGGGAAGAGACGGGCGCGGGCGGATACCGTGTCGCTGTGGGTGCATAGCACCAGGAGACCGACCGCTTGACCCGGGAGGTCAAGCTACATGGTGGACTGGTCGGGCTCCAGGTTTTGACCAAATCCCCATGTCTCAAAAGGAAAAGGCAATAAACCAATGACGGGGTTGAGTATGTCAATCGTTGTGCGTTGAGATCTTCCTATTGTCCTATTATATATGCACTCCCAAATGGCTTTTCTATCTGTGACAACCGCAAATGGCGGATTGAAATTGGGCGTAGCGCCCCAAAGCCAGCATCCAAAAGGACGGACTCCAAAGCACTGGGCACTGGTACATCCAACTGTGTCCATTAAAATAGGGAGACCTCTCAGTTGGGCCTCTTAACTGAGACCCCCTGCAAGGAAAATAGACCAAAAGCATCAAAACCCGGGCCAGGAACTACACGTCGGATGGAACCTGAAACGCCAACGACCTCCTTCACATCCCCACCTCCTCGAGGAGTCGAGTCCGCTTCCGATCAGCAATGCTGATCCTGCAACATCGATGAAAAATAGAAACACATATATATCCTAAACACAACCAATGGGACTGCCATATATGCCGATCAGTTCGGGTGGTTGAAGTAGGGGTCAATGGGGCGGCATATATGCCAGTCCCATGGAGCGTCTGGGTATGCTGGCTTGTGAGTCAAAACCTCGTGGCCCTAAACCCTGGTAGATTGACCTTCCTAGCAGTCTATTCGGTAGCTGTTGGGGTGGGTCGCTAACACAAATCTTGGGAGAAAAAACATTAAAGGAACCTCTTCAGAACGGTGGGAGATCGTCTGGCCTCAAGAATGGTCATGGGAAACCTCTTGGAAACCGCCGAAAAAAAAACAGATGTTTTTCCAATCCAGAGCGATTGTTGGAAGTGGGGAAAAAAAAAAAGCAGGACTCAATCAATATTTCTGAGCAGGCATTCCCTCTTTTAATATAACTTGAGGCCAAGGGGGGGGGGGGCGAAAGCTAGCGCTCCAGAATGGGAAAGTGGAGGGCAGCGAGGTAGGAAAAAACACGGCGCTCTTTTTGGAGGCAGGGGTGAAGAGTCCTTTATATGTGGCTCTTTGCCCGGATCCTCCTGCGAGAGAAGAGAGAGAAGAGAGACGGAAAGACGAGAGACAGAGAGGAGAGAGAGAGAGAGGAGAGAGAGATGAGAGAGATGAGAAAGAGATGAGAGAGATGAGAGAGAGAGAGACAGTGAGACAGTGAGACAGTGAGACAGCTTGAACTTCAGCTCCAGGAAGATGACAAGTGGTACCAGGAGGTGTATGAGGCAGCAGCGCATCGAGTTGGAACCCTCCTCACTGATCCGGAGCACTACATGAATGGGCATGTGGAGCCAGTGGTTGCACCCTACAAGGTACAGCCAGAGAGACCGCGGGGGCGCTTGGATGTGCTCCGCAGGATGAGTCAAAAAGACAATGGCCCTGGTGAGCACCAATGGCAGTTGAAGGGCCAAGGACTGCTGTGCCTGTTGTGCGGCCTTCACATCAAGAGCTGCTCAACGCATGCTGAGATTGAGGCCAAGGCAGCCACGGTGTGCCCCGGCGAGAAGGTCAAGACTTTGACAAATATCATGGAGGACATGCTCAATGCTTCGTCCCTGCAACAGGATCACCAGCCAGGGCACCGTTGGTATCTGCGAGCCAGCTCCTTTGGATGCAGCCGATGTTGGATCAAGGTTGCTCGCAGATGTGGTAAGGAGACTCTCCACAGGCTGGCAAATGAACCCTGCCAATATGCCGCAGTGACAGAGCAGGACCTCAATCTGCGCATGAGAGTCCACCCCCAGCACCAGCTGATGCAGAGGGGTCAGTGGCTTGAATGTCAGAAGTGCTTCAAAGTCTCCAAGATGACAGGAGGCAAAGTGCAACCGTGGATGGCACAAGAATGCCCTGGAAGGGCGAAGCAGACAAAGCTGGCCTTTGCACCCAGCTCTAGCAGCTAGGCCTCCCCGATACAAGGAGAACGAGCCTTGTCGGGACCCGCTTTTCCCTTGACGGTGCGGGAGTCGACTGCAGCAGAGAGAAAGAACCGAGCAAAAAAAAAACAGTGAGACAGTGAGAGTGAGAGTGAGCGAGTGCGGCCGCAAGATACGCAACGCTAACCGCATGCCAAAGAGCGACGACAGGACGGAGTCGAACTTACGAAGAGGGAGGAGGGAGGGAGGGAGGGAGAGAAGGTGGGAGGAAGTGGGAGGAAGACAAGGAGGAGGAGAGGGGAGGAGGGAGGAGGAAGGGGGGGGGGGGGGGGGGGGGGGG